ATCAAAACGCCTGCCATTTGCTATAAATAAATAAATAAATTGACCGACGATCTTAATGCAATTCGCATCACATATGTTCCACATATTCATTTCTTCTCCACTAAGTGGCCGTTGTATTGAACCACAATTCAGATATGAAATTTTGTTAAATTTTATTTCCTATTCGTCACTACGATAGTGATTACCTTCTTGACTCATTGGCTAATTTCCTACCACGCCACAAATGGGCAGTTTACGTTCTATCCTTGTCTTTAATATGCCCCATAGAGACAAAAATAAGGAGTAATTTACTTAGAAAATTGAGAAAAAAACTTATTGATAAGACTTTTTGCCATGGCCTCACAGTATTGACCTGATTAATCTTAGCCATTGTCTCAATTAAAACTTAAGGCCATATAATTATAAATTTGGCCTTACAGAAAGTCTATTTTACGATTTGACCTGAACGTGCAAAAGCTCGAGTCGTTGCCAGGTTGAACTTACGCACAAATGATAAAATGATAAACCAATCACAAAACAGGTCAATTGTACTAATGGTATTAAAACAGATATTCAGCCATTATGTAACGCATTTGCTCGTAATTCGGTTTGCAGGAAAGATGTCTGCATTTAGTGTAACGGGTGAATTCAGTGTCAGAATCTTGAAGGTCTTGAATGACAACAGACAAATGGTGTCACTGTTGGCGTACGATACAATGAGAGGAGTTAAATTCACTATAACCCTTAAAAATGATGATATACCGGTGTCATTCAGTTCAGAGCTTGAGAGTTCTTCCCCAAACAAATCTTTCTTTGAAAAGGTGGAAGAAAGGTATAAGGTGAAATATGGATTGATGGACATCAAATTCCACCTTCATTTCCTCTGCCAAAATGAAAACAAGGAAACTCGCATTCATCATCGCCATTTCATTATTGAAGATGAACTTGGGGAAGGCACTTATGGAACAGTGTTCAAGTTGAAAGACATCGAGAGCGATGAAAATTTTGCAATCAAATGCGTCAAATACAATAATCCACATCGCGTGGATAATGAAATAAGGATACTGAGGATGTTGCGAAACAGTCGAAACATCATCCACTTTTACGGAGCAGTCTACCTTGGACTGGTAAGTTCTAATTTCATCTTAATTAGTCATTAAAAAATTTAGTTAAATAGAGTTTGCTTGGTGACGGAGCATGTTGATTCCATTGTAATGAAGGACGTTTTGGATTCACTAGATCTTGATGACATCAAGTACTACAGCCATCAACTATTGATCGCCATTGATGAATGTCACAAGCGCAATATTGTGCACGGTGATATTAAACCAGCCAATGTTTTAATCGATATCACTACGAAGGAGTTGAAGCTTATTGATTTTGGTATGGCTGTTTCACTTGGCGACAATGAATCCAATAAAACCAATATTGGAACTCTCATTTATAACGCACCCGAACTTCTCCTCAATTATACGCTCTTTGATGGCGCAGTTGATATATGGGCATTTGGATGCATCTTCGCCTGTGCAATATTTAGACTCAGACGACTCTTTGAAGGTGATACAAGGAAGGAAGTTCTACAAAGTATTACTTCAATGCTGGGAAGTGATCATTTCTTTGGATATATCGGCACCTATGGAATTAGAATGAGTGTAAGGGAAATGGATGACTTCACCGGTTTTCCTGTTCAGACATGGGATTCTCTAATAACGGAGGAAAACTCCGACCTGGCTATTGCTGAAGCTGTGGACCTAATCGAACATTTACTCGTGTTTGATCATGAAAAGCGCATATCTGCAGAAGAGGCAATGAAACACTCCTTTTTTAACCAATAACTTGTCAAATATCCACTTGTTTTGTTTGCAAATATGAGCTATTTTTAATAATATATTTTATACTCACGGCATCTTGGCTTATAAACAACTCAGGTTAAGTGGGCAAATTTTACTCTATTTAAAATTATATTAATCAAAATAGCTATTCCGAATGTTCCCCTCTAACTACTTAAAGTCGTTATGATACCATTCAATGCGTATCGCACGAAATAGCTTGAAATTTTATTCTCAATTAATTCCATATCGCTGAAAAGATCACCAGTTTATTAAATGTGAAGAATGAAACAAAAGTAAGAGAGTATGTCCTTGAATTAATCGTATCGGGTAATATTCCGGTGCCTGGTCTATTTGAGTATGGAGAATTGACCTTTCCAGATTGTAACTGCTGGAAAATTATTGCTGTTGTACTCTTAGTACATCGAATCACTTAGTTACTAAGTTACACTTAATTGACCTGATGTTTTAATATACTACCCGCCTCCTGTGCACCTATTTTGCTATCTTTCTCAGATAACTGTGCATTTACGATGCTCTTTAGTCAAATTAAAAAAAAACATCTCCAATAGATCCTCGATCCGTTTGGTTTAATAAGCAATGAAAGATAACAAGAATAGCTCACGTGTTGAACTGAAAGTTTTCGTGGGAGGTTTTTCAATATTTTGTAAACCAAGACAATCTTCCTCACTACTGTGAGCGAAAAAATGTTAAGGTCAACGATGAGTTCAAAGATTAATTTTTTTATATTAAATGGCAGGCGTTTTGATAGTTATCATTAGCCATTTAGTTGACTTCAGGTTTCACAGAGGGGAAGGAACTTCATAGTGAAAAATGTCGAGAGGGGGGAGGGACAGAAGAGTGGCTTACAATTGTAAAAGAGACCGACAAAAAGGTAGAAAAAAGGTGAAAGTAGTCGAATATGGCATACAGTGGGGTGTTGGTAGTCTGAAGTGAGAAGTCAACTGCCGGTTAATAGACTTTTTTGCACCACATGGAGGCAAGTCTATCGCACACTCCGTATTTCAAAGATTGTTTACCACGAAACGGAATAAAAACTATAGGCTTGAAAATTGGATTATGGATAATGAGAAGTTTGTAAATATTTAATTCCGCCTTCAGAACTTCCTCAACTCTTCTGATGCTAAATCTGGTAAGTGTCTTGTTACCACTAATTCACCCAATGCTCACAATTAACTTGATCGGTTCAGCGTGATGTGTAAACGAAAACTCTATCTAACACGAATAACGATTGAAAGGATGCGAGGACGATAAGCATGCTGCCTATTTTAAGAAAACCTAAAGTTTTAGTCTTATATAAAGCTTATTATGTCTTAAGTTGTTGGGTTCCTCAACATCAAATTACCAACTTGAGTGAGTCAACAGATTTAATTCGGAATGGTGGAAAGGCCCGAATGTGTTCGAAATAATCTCATGAATGAGCCTATTCTGGCGCTGACCCTACCATAGCAACAACGGGCAATATTAAGTTACAACCAATTAGTTTATAGCCTTGACCTTTTCTCAATTTAAACAAAAGTTAAAGTTTGATAAGATTAAGGACATCTGCTTACATGTGACCTTAAAGTTCAATTTTTTCATCTGAAAGTCTAGGTACTAGGTGGAAAGTTGATGACCTTCAAGTCTTTACTCAATAAGAAAAGTGCTCACTTCGACAGTCCATGAACTCTGTCACTTAACACGTTAGGCGTGGGTAAAGTTGAATGCAGAACATTTTGCCCCAAAATAGAGTTA